ATGGTGGCGGAGGGAGGTGGCCCGAGTGTCGCCTCAGCTGGGCATGATCTGGGGCCACATTGGATGCCGGGGAGAGGACATGTCAGGGGATGAGCCAACAGAACTTAAAGGGTCCCAGAGGGTTACTGCTTCCCCCAGATGTCACAGTATGTTGTACGCAGCAATCTAACTTTCACAGAAAAAGCGTGTTTTGGACAGTTTCCTCAGTGTGTATTTCTTCTTAACTGCGGAAACTAGAACCGCGGGCATCAGTGGCTCAGAGAAAGAGCTGGGTGACTTGGGGTGGACACTGGCTGTGCCAGGATACGGAGGCCAGGTTGATCCTTTGAGGGGCTGGGAAATAGGCACCATATGGGGATCCCGTGTCTGGCCATGCGCCCTGAGCACCTCGGTGTCCCCAGGTGAGCCGCCCTCCCCACTCCCGGGATCTGAGCAGTGTCCAGCAGCCGTGTCCTCGCTGGACTGTGTCTGCCCTGTGGAAACCCTAAGAGTCGGGCCCAGGGAGGGCTCCAGTAATGCCACCCCTGTGTCTTGCAGCACCACCCACTGGAAGCAGGTGCTGTTTATGATGGACGAGCCCGTCCCCGTTCACGCAGGGGATGTGCTCACAGGCTCGATTGTGCTGCAGAGAAACCCAGTGTGGAGGAGGCACATGTCCGTCGCTCTGAGCTGGTCCGTCACCTCCAGACAGGACCCCACGGTGCAGAGAGTAAGCTATTCAGCTGTAAAGGCGTATGTTGCGGTGCTGGGCAGGGGATGGGTCGGCAGTGATCACCACGGCGGACACTCCCTGCCCTGGCCAGACGCCACGGCCACGCCTTGTCCGCATCATTTTCTCATTCTCATGATGGGCAGTGGATGCTGTTATTTCCAGAACAGGAAACAGAGGTGCAGGACAGTAAGTGGTTTGTTCTGTGACACAGCTAGTCAGTGAGAGGAGACCCAGACTGGCTGGGGCCGCCCCTCTGTGTCCGGAAGCCATGGGTGGAGAGAAGGGGCTGCGGGCGGAGCCATCGTGCAGGCTGGCACACACTCGGTGCCCACAGGCGCTGGGTGTGCAGCTGCGGTGTGAGGGACATGGTCTGACCAGGTGGCAGTTTGAGGACCAAAGAACCATTGTTCCCACAAGTGAAGCAGTGCAGTTGGCGGGCCTTACGCTTCAGAGGCCATTGAGAAATGGATTCTCTTCTTCAGACCTGGGCTTAATGTAGGAGGGAAAAGAAAATCGTCACCTGGTTTCCCATTGTTTATTTTGAAAAAATATATTTTTATTGATTTCAGAGAGGAAGGGAGGAGGAGAGAGAGAAAAAAAAACATCAATGATGAGAATCATTGATCAGCTGCCTCCTGCAAGCCCTCTACTGGGGAGGGAGCCTGCAACCCAGGCCTGTGCCCTTGACTGGAATCGAACCCGGGATCCTCCCGTCCGCAGGCCAACGCTCTATCCACTGAGCGAAACCCACCAGGACTCTCATTATTTTTGATTCCTGTTTTGTGCTTTGCTTTTCGGTAACTTTATGTTAAAAGTTTGTCATTTAAAAAAATTCTGCACCTGAATGCCATTCTCTTGTCCAATATTAAATTATTACTAGGAAATACTGCGTGTTAATCAAACTTTAATGATTAGCTATTTGATTGACTTGTTTTCTTTGTCTTTTTCAGGTTGGAGAAAAAGTCTTTCCGATCTGGAGATGACAGTTGAAGTTCTCTTTGCGAAGCAGTGTGAGCTTGGAGGAAAGCAGAGCGAGGAGCTCACACCGATGCGAACACTCCTTCTTGTGAAACCTGCAGACGCTCACTCTGTCTTGTAGGCGGTCACACCCTTCTCTGTGGCCCCACGACAAACGCTCGGGCTGCCCTCGCCACTGTCACGGCCCGTGTCTGTCCTCTAGAAGTAGCTGTGTTTCCAGGTGTCCACAGTGCTGTCCACAGTGCCCCCCTGTGGACAGGCTGGGGCACAGTGTTCCTAAGCTAGGCCTAGTTCCACACTCATAGGACGCGCGTCAGCCTTGTACTCCTGTGAAGTAACTGTTCGTGCATCATGTGTTACTGGTGTCCTTACTGCCCTCAGTTCATCCACTCACCATGCAGAACGTGGGGTTGCACAGAGCCGTGCAGGACCTGGGGTGGCAGTGCATGCGCTGGGCTCTGCATGAGGTAGTACCTTGTAGAGATGTCTTCCAAATAAATCGTGTTGGCACATAGTACATCTCAATAAATATTTTTAAATAAACGAATGTTCGTGTAGATCCTACTTCTGTGCATGTACCTGATTTGCACAAGCGTGGGATTGTACTACGTGCATTGCTTTGTAACCTTTCTCATCTGGTATTGGGAAGAAACTTCCATGCCAGTAGGTACACATCCACACTTTGTGTGTGTTGTTTTGATGTTTAGTGAACTTTCTATCTATGTAAAAGCTGAAGCGACCGAATGACGGAACTACTGGTTGACTGGTCACTATGATGCGCACTGACCACCAGGGGGCAGATGCTCAACACAGGAACTGCCCCCTGGTGGTCAGTGTGCTCCCACAGCAGGAGCACCGCTCAGCTGATCGATAGGTGCCAGACGCTGGGCTCATGGCTGGCGAGTGCAGCTGTGGCGGCGCCAGCCTTTCCCGCCACCGCCACCGCGGCAGGTGCAGTGGGGCCGGGATGAGCGGAAGTGGTGTGGCGCCTGGCCTGGGCTCCGGTTCCTTCCTGGCCGCCTGCCACTTGGTGCACTACTACAGCCCTCGGGGGATGTCCGACTGCTGGTTTTGGCTGCCTCCTGCACACCCCACACGAGGATCGAACCTGCAACCCGGGCATGTGCCCTGACCAGGAATCGAACCATCATCTCCTGCTTCATAAGTCAATGCTCAACCACTGAGCCATCCTGCGAGGCCAGGTGCAGCCTTCTCGAGGGCTGGTGGTTCCTCCTGGGACTGGCTGGATCCTTGGTCCCATCTGAGTGGGCAGCAGTAGGCAGGCAGGTCTCAGGACAGCCCTGCCAAGCCTGCGGTGCTGCTGGGCAATCGAACAGCTACCTGGGCAGCATAGACGGCTCCTTGGGAATTTTTAATTCCTAACATCCAGGAGGCTGAGACAAGCACCTCCTCCCTCGCAGCCTCAGCCGGCTGAGAGGGGTGACAAGAGTCGAAGATGGGGGAGCACCTGCACCTCCCAACAGGAGGTTTCACTCTGGGGCCGCATGGTCTCTGAGACCCAAAGGTGCCCGTGGTCCAGCCCCAATGGCCTCTGGGAAGCTGTGGATTCCACGGTTTGGAATAATGCCTGAGCCTCCGGTTGCTTCACTGAGCGAGAATTTCCCAGCACCCTAATCTTAGACCGGAAGGAGCCACTTGTTCTTCAGGGATGGCTGACTAACGTGGCCGGGGCAGGCGTGACCTCTGGGCTCCCATCTCCCAAGGGCACAAAGGAGGTCTGTGTGCCTTCCCCGGGCACAGGGGCTATTCTGAGCCAGTCTCTGTGATGCAAGGACCCGACGCCCAACAGCAACAGAGCTTTTCCCGCAAGGGGGAGCTGCTTCTGCCATTATGGGGGGACAGCAAGAGCCCCGGACAGGTGTCTGCAGCCCGTGGCCCTAGGGGAACCCCCTTCTCTGTGGCTGGGTCTCACAGCGGTGCAGTGGGCCACCAGTGATGAGGAACCTGCTGCTTTCCTGCCAGCGTCTGTTCCCACGCTCAAGTCCAGCCCCTAAGCTTCCCTTTGGGACAGACATCTCTCCTGCTTCCATTCCAAACAGTTCCTGAGTCCTGAGCCCACATCTAGCCAACCCCACATCCAGCTTCTGGGTGCTCTGGTGGGTTCAGGAATGAGACTGACCAAGCAAGGCCAAGGGAAGAAGAAACCTTTCCCGGTAGAATGGACCGTGAGCGGGTGTCAGCCTAGCGTCGGGGGAGGCGGAGACGGTGCCTGTGAGTGGGGCACCCAAAGGCACTTAGGATGGAGGGTGGGAGAGGGACCAGGTCCCCCTGCTGGAGTGAGAACCTGGACCTGCCAGGCCCAAACCCACTCTGAAACTTGCCTCTTGCAAGTGTTAATTTATTCCTACCACTTAGAATTATTTACTTTACTTCAGTAAGTAGGCCCCGTTCCTTGCAATAAAGCGTGTCCTGGCTGATACATCAGAATCAACAATTCCCGAGGCTCCCTCTGCCTAGTGCTGGTGTTCTCACGGGGTGAGGAGTTTTGTAGCCTCAATATCCACACTCCCCGCCCCTGCCCCCCCAGCTTCCCAGCTGCCGCACCTGCGTGAGGGACTGGCCCTTTCTGAGGCTTCTGCACTCCTCGGTCATGATATTTCTGAAAAGCTGTACTTCACGCTGTTCATCAAATTGCTTGCTCTGTAATTCAGCTGTGAATCCAGTTTGAATCTGGGAGCCAGTGGATGCAGCTTCCAGCTACTCTGCTTTCATCTCTCCTTTTGCTCTTCTCTCTCTTCCCTCTTCCTCTCTCTCCTCTTTCTCCTCACTCCTTTCTTTCCTCTCTCTCTCTCCTGTCCTCTACCCTCTCTTCTCAGTCTGCTCTCTCTCACCTTCTCTTTCTCATCTCTCTACTTCTCTCCTCTCCCGTTTTCTTGTCTCTCCCCTCTCTTCTATCTCTTCTCTCTCTTTCTTATTTCTCTTTACTTTTCTTACGCCTTTTGTCTCTACTCTCTTTTCTCTATTAGTATTCGGAAGGCAGATGTACAAGCCCAGCCATGCACTAGCTGGGGAACTCCAGACAGGTCCATTTCTCAGAGCCTCAGTTTCCTCTTCTGTGAATAGACGGCGCTGATCATAGGATCCACCCGCGGAGATGATGAGACAGTTGAGTGTGTGAGCTGGGCAACCGTGATGCAGGACACAGAACCCGCCTGCCAGCGCCAGCTGCTCTGACTGTAGGGTGGTTGTAGATCACGTATATCCATCTGGTTTCGTTATGTATATAAAACATGACATTTATAACCTTTTATGACATATATATCTGCATTACAGAGTGTTAGCTACTTTAAAAAATATATATTTTATTGATTTTTCACAGAGAGGAAGGGAGAGAGATAGTTAGAAACATCGATGAGAGAGAAACATCGATCAGCTGCCTCCTGCACACCTCCTACTGGGGACGTGCCCGCAACCCAGGTACATGCCCTTGACCGGAATCGAACCTGGGACCCTTCAGTCCGCAGGCCGACGCTCTATCCACTGAGCCAAACCGGCCAGGGCGTGTTGGCTACTTTTATTATTTGATAAAGGAGCAAATAAAATGTGCCACAAGGCCGGTGAAATAGCACAAGTGAGACGCCGGGCACTCCTGTCGTAGCTGCCTCTGTGGCCAGGTTCGGACAGACTCCTCCTCCGACAGCCTTCCTCCCCCTCTTCCTACTTAAATAGCTTTTATTTACTTATCGTAAGAAGACTCCACCTGGATCTTCCCCTTAACGAGTTTCCACGTGCCCAGCACGGCATGGCTAACTGTAGGCAGGTGGTGCACAGCAGATCTCTACAAGCCACTGACCTGGGACCCGAAGCTTTGGGGGACGTTTCTGATGACGTAAACAGCAGCGGCAGAAGGTGCTGCGATGACGGACGTTCTGAAGGTGGCAGCAGAGGTCCACGCTTCAGAAACGACTCCCGGGCTCCGGCAGACGGATACGTGCCGGGGAGGGGCGAGACCAGCGATCCCCGGGGTCTGCTTTTGCGTTGCAAACTTCCCCTTCGTTATGACTGTTGCCGGGAAGGGGTGTGTCGGAATATTTCGGGAAGCTGCTCTAATGCAAATGATATCTGGGAAGCGGGAGCCAGCTATTATTCATTAAAACTTCAGGCGAAATGAGAGCATTCGTGCATTAATAGGATGCAAGGAAGCGGAACGGCGGTGGAGGTGAGGGAGAGGGCGAGGGAGCAGGAAGAAAAAGGCGTGGGTTTGGGCAGGCACGTCCCGTGGCCCCAGGACTCCTTGATCTGGAGGGCGGGCCCCAGCCAGGGAGAGCCGAGGCCTCTAAATAAGGAGGTGCGGGCGCAGAACAGGGTCCCCCCTTTCCGGGTCTCAGGCAGTGAAGGCCGGGGACAACCTCATGCATAAGCTTTGAATGCCGTGTAGATTCCCTCACGCGATGTGTACAGGTCAGGTTCTCCGTCTCTCTTACAGATCCAGGGAAAAAGGAGACCCGAACATTTTCAAGGGCTGTGAGTCGCTCTCCAACGGATGTGAAGTACCTCATAGAAACCACCAGATGGCAGTGTTGCCCCACAAAAGGCTCGCACCCAAAAGTTCAATCTTGTAGCTAAAAAGTTCTACCATCACATGCGTTTCCCAATGCAGTAGCAATTGAAATTGAATATATAATAAACATTATCTTATATTTGCACTTTCCCAGAAATGAATAATACCACATTTGTTGTTATTGTTAGTAGTGGTGCTTAGGTCTTCTTTAGTTATTGTCTTAGGAAAATGGGAGACTAACAGTTGTATTGTCTGTGACTCTATGCATTTTATGATTCAACACCATTAGTAAAAAAACAAACAAAAGCTAAGCAGTATGTGAGTTGATGTATAATATTCCCGCAGCCAGAATATACCGACCCTGCCACACTGCAAGACAAAAACAACACGACACTGTCAGTTTGAAATTTATTCTTGGATTTGCAGCCTGTGGATTTCCCCTAAAAGCATAAAACAAAATGGTTACAAAATATGGTCTATGTAATTTACATTTATCAATGTAATGTATTGATCAATGCATTTATGTGGCTGAAAAAATCGCTCAGGTGGTTATCAAATAAGAGAATGTATGTAGATGACCTACCACAAACCTGCACAGCAGGGATCCTAAGAAATGGAGGCTGCTGTCCCACTTATTAAGAAGAAATGATAGGTGAGGAGTAAATGCAACCATTTGTTATGGCGGGCTCAGGAGCGGCCAGTGAAACAGCGGGCCGTTGCTTTAGTGGGAACAGTGCGCCGTCTTCTGTGCCTCCCTCACTGGCTGTGCCAGGGCATAAAAACAACCGAGGCTTCTACCCTTCAATAGACACGCAGACCAGTGTTCAGCAAATGACCATTAATACCTTTCAGGAATAGCAAATTCATACTTTCTTGTTTTGCTCAATTTGGGGTAAAGCTTCAGTGGAAGTTTAAAAGAACACTTTAAGGGGCAGTTTTCTTCTGGGATCTGCCTCGTGTATGGTTTCTGTGATAGCCTCAGAGCAATAGAGCACCTGGTAGCCATGTGACTGCAGCTTTAAGAC